AGATAATAAAATCAGGCAGATCAACAAAGCTCTCTATATCTATTCTGTTCAGATGTAATCCCCTGAATTACGTATTGTTTTGGTGCATGGGCCTAACAAGAGCTGTGATACTAATTTCCTCATTTTACCCTTAAAAAAAGTGTGGTTAAAAAATAGCAGGACTGGGATTAGAAACATTTTTTATTTGAAGACAACTACATTTTGTCCAATATTGCCAACATGGACAATCAGGAATTAGTCCTAGAGCCCTTATATCTCTGGACATCTTGGTTTGAAGTAAACTCAGCCTCCCACTTCATCCCACCACTCCCTATTTCCCCATTCCATAGGTCTTTGAAGTGCTTTTTGAAGTATTCATTACAAAAAGATAAATGGTGCTTATAAATAAATTCAGAGTCTCCACCATGTGGGACTGGGGATGGGGAGCAGATGCAGGTACAAAATCATCATGAACTTATGAACCTACTCTTTGCTCCCCTCCTTTCTCTGCACCATATCCAGTGCCATCTCGAAATTGCCTATTCCCACCATGTTCCTCTTCTCTTCCTATACACCTTTGAAAATGGGGGCCAGAGAGAGTAGTGATATTTATGCTGACTCAGGGATGAGGAGTCATGGAGCTTTGAGGAGTAGGATTAAGTCTAGGAGTATTTGGATTTCCATATGATGGAGAAATCTACCCTGGATTTAAAGAGAAGTATTAAGAGATAATACACTTTCAGATACTTCTGATCCCCCAAACAGGCAGAGCTTCCATAAAATCATTTTTAAAGGACAAGTATGTACCACATATGTGAAAATATATATATATAAAGGGAAGTGGCAGAAGATTGGTATTTTTTAAAAATCAAGATCTAGCATACTTTTTTTTTTTTTTGGCCAGGCAGCGTGGGGGTGGGGGGTTGCTGAGGATTGACCCCAGGCCCTTGCACTTGTTAAGCAAGCACTGTACCGCTTAGCTCCATCCCCAGCTCTTTTTAAAATTTTAAAATAGAGTCTAAGTTGACCAGGCCTTTAACTTGGGCTCCTCCTTCCTCAGCCTCTTGAGTAGCTGGGATAACAGGTGTATACTAACACATCTGGCTCCTCCAACATACTGTTCTTAGTGTGACTTTAAGGGACAGATTTAATCATGTACAGAGTCTCTAAGCATTCTCAATAGATGAGTGTCAACAAATCCTATAAATGTTTCATATAGTAAAACTTCAGGGTCTTAGGACCTATTAGCAGAAACCCAATGGCAACAGAATTTCACCAACCTTTTTATCTTTATCCTCCTCCAGTCTTGAAGAACTCTCAGAATATCTTTTCATTTCGGCAAGTTCCTCCTGAGCTTGCTGGAATTTTTGCAGAAGTTCATTTACTTCTTGGTCTTTGGATTTCAAAAGAGTCTGAATGTTTTCCTTTTCCCTTTTCATTTGTGAGACCTCACTTCGAACCTGGGCAACCTCTGAATGGACCTTCTCTTTCTCCTTTACTGAATCCTTTAATTTTGATGCCAATGCACTCACTTCACTCTCCAAGGATGACTGGAGCTTTTCATAGGAAGACCTGGGTACCATTGTGTCAGTCATAGCAGCTTTCTCCTCTAGGAGCTGCTTCTCCAATTTTGCCACTTCCACTTCTTTGCTCGCCAGGTGCTCTTTAAGACTGCTTATCTTCTCTTCCATCTCTTTCCCAGTTGTCCTCAGTGAGGTTATCACTTGCAAATGTTCTGTGATGGACACAGAGTTCTCTTTCTGTGCATCCACCAATTGCTTGAGCTGGGTCAACTCATTTAATACTTTTGAATACTGGGACTTCATTTCAGACAGTGCCTCTTCCGCTTTGGCCTTGGACACATTTGTCACCTGCATCAGTTTCTCATGCTCTGCTTTGTGGATGTATTCAGTTGCTACATCTTCTAGAGACTTCCTCTTCCTATAATCCTCCAGCTCAGCCTGGGCTTCTTTGTACAGCTGCGACAGCTCACTTACCTGTTTATTGAGTTCATCTATCATCCTGTTCATGGCCTCTTTCATGTCCCCAGCTTCATCACTGGCTTCCTGTGTCATCTGACTTTTTAGTGTGTCTTTTAATTTCATGATTTCTTCTTGGGCCTCCTGGTATTTCTCAAACAAAAATGCTTTCTCCTTATTCATATTCTCAATAACAGAGCAGTATGAACTTTTCATTTCCTCATACTCTTCCACAGGTGCCTTAATCACTACATCTTTTTCCTTCTCCACAAGTTTTTCCTCTAACTCTCTCACTTTCTCTTTATTTCTTTCACTTTCTTCTAACGCGTTCTGCAGATCCTGCTTTAGCATATCTATTTCCCTGTCTGTGACCTTCAGCTCATGGAGATGTGAATAGCTATCTACACCCTCATGAGACAAGAGACCCAGTTTCATCTGCTTCTGAACACTCAGGACTTCTTTCATTGCCTCCTCATACTTGCTCTGAGTTTCTTTAAGTTTCTGACTGAGGTCTGAGCCATTCTCTGAAATCTCTGTGTCGTTCAAGCATACCAGTTCTGTCCTTCGGGACTGGAGTTCAGCCTGTAGCTGCCTCCTCTCTGCTTCCGACCTCTCCAATCTCTTCTGCAAGTCTTGCGAAATCTCTTGTAGTTGCTGAATTCTAACATCACTGTCAAGAGTGGGTTTCCCCAAAGAATGCATTGAGACAGATGGAGATGATTTGGAGTCTGGGGAAGAGGCCTCACTAGGTTTGCCCAGGGGTGGGGCCACATCAGTCTGGGTAGAATGGAAAGAATCAAAGCTTAGGTCTCCTTCTGCCTCCTTTGGTGATTTGGCCTGGGAAATAAAGCAGGAATTAAACGGCACTAAATTAAATGAACAAGCACCAGAGTGAGAAGAACAAGTCTAAAATTTAGGTACAGGAGAGCTGGGTGATCGTTTTCCATGTGTACTCCTTTACCATAATAAATATATTGTTTGGGACATAAGAGTCAGATTTACAACACAAAGCTTATTCTGTGCTCTATTAGAACAGATTATTTGTGTCATTTAAAAAAATACCGGAATTGTTTTGCCTATTAAAAACCTCCCACTCAAATATTTATTTCTTATATCATTCTAGTTGCCCAGAGAGGCAATAGGCATAGTACAGCTATTTCCTATCAAGTTCTTGAGAGTACTGTATGATCAACTTTACAAAATGAAAGGAAAATATTATATACAAATATATATACTTATGCACATGTATATATAAAATGTTTAAATTTTAAAATATAGACATTTAAATGTATAAAAATAGAAAATTATAAAATTTTATGCACAATTTTTCATAGCATTCTATGTAATGAATCTATAAACAAATTTTATTTGTGTAAAATTTTTTATATATTCTATTTATATTTAAATGTTAATAATTTATATGTAATTATATAACTATATATGTAATTATATAAAATTTACCAATTTACAGAAATAGAATTAATGAAGAATACTGTTATCTACCCAAGAAACTTATGTACACCCCCAAAATATAGCCATTTGACTCCACAGAATTATCTGTGGTAGTAATCTATTTAGCTACCTGTAATTTATCTTGTAACTCCTTGTTGTGTAAAGTAAGGGAGGCAACTTTTGCTTGCAACAGCACAAGAAGATCTTGTTGGTCAGCTTCAGAACTTATATCCAATAAGCTATCGGCACCTTGGAAAGGAGAAAGGCAATTTAAAATGTTTTTAAAAATTAAACTGCTGTTTCTCTAATTTCTAACAAACTCACTTTCTGGCTTAACCAGTTCTTCTTCAAAGTCCTAACTATAACCATTCCTCATCCCCAGTTGGGTAGATGAATAGAAATTACTGGCATTTCCTGACTATAGTATTTGTAGCACAGGTGTATCAAGCTAATTATAAAACTGATGGATTTGGGCATTATTCATTCACTTGATTAATCTTGGTTTCTGGTTTCTCTCTGTACCTCATTAAGTCTCAGTTATGTGAATCCTTCTAGAAAGATCTCTGGAACCTGATTTATTTCTTATTCCTACCAGAGCATTACTTAAGTTCAGACTTCTATCACCTTTCTCGGAAACTTTGCACATGGCTTACTCAGATGCCCCATATATTCTCCCCAGTAAAAATGTAGGGACATAAATGCTACTTAAAGTGTTCACTGAGATAAGACATGGAACTTGATCCAGAATAAAACAACAATGTCAGATTAGTCTTCCCAAAACATACGTCAGGCCATTCCTTTGGTTCAAATGCTTTGTTTCCCTCCAAAAATAATCTCCAAACTCCTTTATATGGGTTAAGGCCTCTTTATCTGGCCCCAGTCTTATTTTTCTGGTTTATGACTCACTACATCTTTCCTAAATTTCCATTTCCTCAGACTCTTTGTTTATCCACAGGACGTCCTTGCATCTCTTTACCTAGATACCTTTTTTTTTGTACCAGGGATTGAACTCAGAGACACCCAACTACTAAGCCACATCCTCAGCCCTATATTGTATTTTATTTAGAGAAAATGTCTCTCTGAGTTGCTTAGTGCCTGGCCATTGCTGATTTTGAACTCACAATCCTCCTACCTCAGCCTTCTGAGCCACTGGGATTTCAGGTGTGCGTCACTGAACCCAGCTAGATAACTCTTGAGCATCCTTTACAACCCCGTCAAAGTTTACCTCCTCCTTAAAAGCGTTCACTGACCACCTGGCATGAAATGATTTTCTCCAAATCACACTATAATCACTATAATCACAGTTAGTAAACCACACTTTTTAGCATCATACTGATTATCATGCCTGAATAGTATTTGAAACAATGCTACTCAAAGTGTTCACTAGGATAAGACATGGAACTAGCTTCAGAACAAAATGAAATGCAGAAAGACTTCCTATGAAAAAACGTCAGTTGCACAAGATGATATAGCCGGATGACTTTCTGGTGAAAACTCTTTTATTATTGCCGACTGGCAATAGTTTATAGATGACTCTTTGAAAAGTACAAATCTAAATTTTTTACTATTATGCTTTTAATTTATTCACAGCCATTCAATGCAGAGATGAAAACTTTAATCTTAATTTGGATGGACGAAAAAATGATGTTTTTTCATAGAAAAATTTACATCTGATATAAGGCATTGTTCTGATGTATGGTAAGTCCTCTGAGTTTTGTGAGTCCTCCTAAGATAAAGTCTGGTGTGATAAACTTGGGAATTGAAGCATGACCTCAATTCTAATCAACAGAAGTTACTTCTCAGATACAATGGATGGTTTTAAAAGTAAACCATGTAAAACCTGTTCAAAGTATTAACATTGATCTCTGCCAGGAATTTGAAAGTTTAATATTTCTCAATTTGGCAAATCAAAGGTCCAGACTCATATAAAATGCACAATACTCTAAGAAACTGAGTGCTGGAGCTAAAGGGAAACCTTGAAATCATCTACTCTATTATAAATTAATTCTGAAGAAATCATACTACATTCTTATAGATTCAGTTAAACTTTAGGAATCTCCATCTTCTTTAGAAGGGACTCTTAAAAGATACAACAAATTAAACCTATCTTCGTTAAGACAGTTTGACTGTGTGGTTTACTTGTAAATCTAAGTGGTAAAGTTACATTGTGACAGTCATGGAGGTGCATGGTTTTCTCCCTTCATGATATAATTTGCTGCTCAGCTGCAATGAGTGCTCTATGCTATTAGCTAACAGCCTACAGCCTGTTTTTAAATGCATAGGATAAAATATACCGTAATCTATAAGATTATCTTGTAACACACCAAATAATAATATCCAAAAGCAGGTCTAATAACTGCCATGATTTCTAGTGGTGATATTATAAATGAATTTCCAATATATCTGCAATAACAGTAAGGTGACAGGAAATTGGCAGGGAATTCTCTTGTGATAAAGTCACTGGTCTGCTAATACCCCTGTGTTTATTTCCTATATTCATAATTGAATGAAATGCTAACATTTAATTATGGACAAGTGAAAACAGAAATGGACTTTTTTACATACCAAAGTTAGATATTTTTTAAAATCCAGGTTCAGGCCCCTGAAGCCCAGAGCTGCATTATTGGCAGCTCTATGACCACAGGCTGTTCCTGGCTTTGTCTTTGCTCTGTTCAAAGAGACATGGAGTAAAGACAGTTTGTTCAAAGAAACAGAAACAGATGCTGCTTTATCTTACCTGTAGTACTGTCACTTAGTCTATCTTTGTTTTCTCGTATAGAACTAATCTCAGCCTGCAGAAAAAAAAAATGATGTAAAAATAATACTCCTAAATATAACATTGCACAAAAGAATCAGGTAGATTTTCCTCCTTAAGCTTACAGAGAGCAGAGTCTGTTATCCTACAAGAAAAATAAAAAATCTGAAGGAAAGAAGATATTTTACAAGTGAAAACATGGCAATTATCTACTAAGGTATAACTTTTTAAATATTAGAAATTTCAGAGTGCATATTTTCAAAACACTTTTCAGAAATATAATTTAGGGAGCACAACACAAATATATTTAAAATTATAATAATTTCATGCCATAGTTTACATATTGGGCTATGTCCTAAATAAATAAGATGGAAAAGACTACTTTCTTAATGATGTCAAATAGAAGTTATATTTATCTGGGTTATACATTAAAGTATATTAGAAGTAGATGTTTTTAGCTTAATCATTTTTTAAATTATCTGTATTAATCTAATTAATCTTTCTAAAAGACATGCTAATAAATAAGACCTAAAAGGAATAAGAAGATAATTTTATAAGGGGAAAAATGCATACACTCTTGGATTGTCAACTGATCCCTTAAAGATTTCCTCTAACCCTCTGTCCCGGAATATCTGTTAATATATTACAAAAATTCTTGGAACTTCAAAGACAAACTCTCATTTCAAGGCTTTTGTTTCAAAACATTATATTAACTTGCCAAAAATTTATTATGTTTCATCTAGATGAACCCTAGACAATGATAAGAGATTACTTTTCAGCAAAGGAACTTTTGCAAAAGCCAAAATGCTAAAAATTAAGTTGCTTATTTTTGGCAAATGTTTCTCTTTATAAAAAGCTGTCCTTTCCCTTTTCCAGAAAATGTACATATTTTAACTATATAAGGTATAATATACTATTCAAATTTTCTAATCTGAAGGGGTTTTGACAGATGTATAACCATGGAACTAACACTATAATCAAGATCTAGAATATTTCCTTTTCCCTGAGAGTTTACTCATGCATTTATCACAGCTAATCCTACCCACTCCATTCTTAGGCAACCTGTCCATTTTGCATTTTCTAAAACTGCTATAAATGGAATGTAATGGAAAAAGTGGGGATATTTTTGTGGCTTACTACTTTCATTCAGCATGATGATTTTCAGATTTGTCTATGATGTTGCTTGCACTGCAGCACATTCCTATTTTTGCTGAGTAACATTATTTTATATGAATATATCTCATTATCTGTATTATTCACTTGTTGATACACATTTAGGTCATTTCCAATTTAGGAACACTGTGAATAAAGCTACTCTAAACATCTATATATAATGTTTTATATAGATATGCTTTTAGTTCTCCTGGGTTAAACACCCATAAGTGGATGACTGTATCATCTTGTAGGTATTTGTGTAACTTTTAAGGAAACTATTAGTTTTCTGAAGTAGTTTGTACCATGTAATTTCCTCCAACAGAATATTAGCAGTCTAATTCTTCCACATCCTTCCACATCTAATTTTTCCACTAACATACTTTATCTAAGGATCCAATACAGGATATTGCATTGTACATAGAGAATTTTTAAAAAATGTAACGTTTGCCACTTCATAAATAATGTTTATTAAGTAATAAAAGGAGTGACTACAAGTCAGAAGCCAGTAACTTTCACACCTTTTAAAAAATTAATTTAATTTTTAATGAATAAAGGAAAAAAATATGTATTTACCATGTACATCATTATGTCTTGAAATATGTATATAATATAGCTAAATTGTACTAATCAACATATGCATTACCTCACATATCATTTTTTTTGTGATTAGAATACTTAAATCTACTCTCTTAGCAATTATCCAAAATACAGCACATTGTTATTAACTATGGCCACCATATTGTACAATAGATCTCTTGAATTTCTTCTCCTGTTGAACTGAGATGTACACTTTGACCAACATATCCCCAATCTCTCCACTCCCTATTCCCCCATTGTATTCTTTTATGAGTTCTATTTTTTTGGATTCCATAAGTAACCTTTGTCCATTTTTTCCTATTGAAGAAAATTATTGATTAGTAATTGCAATTAATTCTCCCTATTCTTGTTTTACAGTGTCTAAGCCAGGAAAAATAATCAAGGAGTCCTTCATGATGAAAAGATTGTGAGCGAATGACTGAGAAGTATATTCTACTTTATTTATATTTGTCCAGTGTTATATAACTTAAAGCAAGTCTATGATGTATCATAAAATACAAGAACAAAATTGAATCTAGAAAGGAAATACCTTGAAGGGTGCTTCTGCAAAAAATACTGATTCCTTTCCCGAAAGTGGTGTTGAAGTTATTGATCTTGGGGAAGACACGTCACTCAACTAAAAGAAGAAAATGAAAACCACCAGTAAAGAATGTGTCCTCAAAGTATTTTCTTTTCTAGTGCTGTTGAAGCAACATCCAGGCAACTAAACTCAGTAAGTTATCCTTAGCTTCAGTTAACACAGGCAATTCAGCTATATCAAATAATTTTTGAGTTTTGCAGAGTATAACTTTGCTCCTATGTTAACTAGAATCAGTTTTTTATAAAACTTCTATTATAGGCTGAGAATAGTATTAATGAATAGTATTTCATGTTAAAATATATTTATAATTATTTATCAGTGAGATATTTCTATTATTTGAATAGATTATTCTTTTCATGACATGATTTTAAACAATAAACCCCAACCTGTTTTGTTTGCCATTTCACAGATTTCTGTGCTTCCTTCTCTATGAAGTAGTTTTTATAAGTTCAGAAATAAAATTATTTTTAGTATTAATCAACTGTAAATGTAATTAGAAAAACACATTTTAGCAATGTTTTAAGAAACCAACTTAAGTTCACTTTAATCTAACTGCCTCACTAACTACTCATTATCTTACCCTTAACTCTTACTAGAATTGTTAATATGAGGAACTAAAAATAGGCTGACTTATTATTATCTTAGAAAAATTTCTATCATAATATTATTTAAAAAAATTTTTTTTTGTGTGCCAGGGATTGAACCCAGAAGCATTTAATCACTGAACCACATCCCCAGCCTTTTTTACTTTTTATTTTGAGATAAGGTCTTGCTAAGTTGCTTAGGGTTGCTTAGGGTCTTGCTAAGTTGCTGAGGCTGGCTTTCAATTCACCATCCTCCTGCCTTAGGTTCCTAAACCACTGGGATTACATGCATGTGCCACTGTGCCTGGCCTGTCATAAGATTTTGAGAAATTTCTTGAGGCTTTTAAAAAAGATACTATTTAATCCTCCAGTTTTGAAACAGATAAAAGTCAACATTGTTTCCATACTAATTATCAAAATACTTCCTATCACAATTTGTAATCTACAAAATTTAAGAAAATTTTAAATGTGCGCTAAGGGTCAGGTCTAAAACATTACTTTGTGACCTAAACGCAAAATGATGAAACTATTGTTGTTTTTCTGCTTATTGATTGCTGGTTTGCTTTGGTTTTTACCTGAGTAGGACTGATAGGAGGTGGTGGAGCTTTGCGTTTTTTTGGAGTTCCACTTCTTTCTGAGCTTATTTTAGAGACTTGATCATGCTGAAAGTTATCACAGTCCAAAGAATGGAGGTGGGTTAGTTAGGTTAGTAAAGTTTGAGCAAGTAGCTTCATCAAACAAATGAGAAAAACCTCTATAGTCCATGCATTTCTTAATCCATCAAGACCTGGAATCTGTTATCAACATAAAAATACAGTAATATGCATGCTCTACATTTTCTTCTAGCAGTCCATGCTTTCATAGCAAGAAGATTAAAAACATAGACAAAACCAGATTAAGTTGGTGTGGAAAACTGGGAAAGTAGAGGACGAGAGTTGTCTACCATAGTCAGAACCCAGATTACATTCACATGTACTTTCCATCTTAATGCAAAACACCAGGCTTTCCCACATCTCTGCATGACTTCCACCACCCACCTTTTGTTTTAAAGAAAGTAAACATGAGGGAAAGGGGGAACCTCATCTCTAAAAGTTATTGGTAAGGAATGCATTTAGCACATAATATATTCAGTATTACTTGTTGTCTATAATTTTTTTAAGAACCTTGATGTATACATAAATAGAACAACCAAACTTAAATTAATAGTGACAACATGCTTTTTAGAAAAACTCCAAAATAACAGGGCAAACGTCTAAATTTCTACTCCAAGTAATACTAAGTGTAATTTTAGGGTGAAAAACAATTAAAATAAAAGGAAAAGCTAAATGTCTTATTTTCATTAAGTATTTAAGATTTTCCTATGTATGTAGTTCATATGATAATACAAGCATTTAACTCTAGGTGAAATTTTAGGGGGGAAAAGAAATAAAAGGAAAAGTTCAATCTCTTATTTTCATTAAATAGCTAGCATTTTTGTGACTATAGGTCTGTAGTCCATGTGATATTACAAGTAGCTAAAATATTGTTATTCAGTCTCAGTGTTTAAACCACATCAAACATTTTCACACCAGTGGGAAGCATTAGTACATTTCAGAAAAAGATGAATATATAGGTAGCAAGTTTAAAGTTATATGCTTTTGAAATAAGGTAAATCATTAAGAAAACATTTACCACCTCATAATAATGAATCATTTATTCCAAAGACATTGCACTCCTTAAGTATCTTCCACATAGTCATCATCACTTTTCTATTTTCTTTTTGATACTGGGGATTAATCCCAGGGGTGCTTTACCACTGAGCTACATCCCCAGACTGTTTTTAAATTTATTTTTACCTTTTTAAATTTTAGGGTGGAGTTACTGGGGATTGAACTCAGGGACACCCACCCACTGAGCCACATCCCCAACCCTATTTTGTATTTTATTTAGAGACAGGCTCTCACTGAGTTGCTTAGCACCTCGCTTTTGCTGAGGCTGGCTTTGAACTTGCAATCCTTCCTTAGCCTCCCAAACCGCTGGGATTACAGGCATGCACCACCACACCTGGCTTTATTTTTTTTTATTTTGAGACAGGGTCTTCCTAAATTGTTTAGGGTCTCACTAATTTGCTGAGGCTGGCCTCAAACTTTTGATCCTCCTACCTTAGCCTCCTGAGTTCTGGGATACACCGGTAGGTATATGCCACCACACCAGGTAGTCATCATCACTTTTCTAGTAAACTATAAAGTTTATTATAAACATTTTCAAATACTCATAAACAAAGATAAAAAACATCCCTACCCCCAAAAGATAAATACCTGCTTTGGTTTTGTTGGGGTCTTTAAGTCTAAAGAAGAAAAAGTGAAAGAAAATTACCATAAGAACCATAATGACTCATATTTCATATTTGCTTTGGGTGGAAACACACACACATACACACACACACACATCATACACAACATTTAACACTTCATTTTTCTTCAAGCCTATGTTTAAAAGAATAATAAAATATATATTGCACAAATTCCTTTATCCTTTGGGGGAAATGGAGTACATGAATTTAAAACAACATTGACTATTTTCTTTCACATACCAGCATCCTGAGAGATTTTCGATAATAGAAGGCTTTGAATTCCTGCATTTTCTGAGAGTTTGGAATAATGTAAGGCATTGTGTCCAAGAGAATCTACAAGGTTTAGGTCTGCACTCTTTTTAATTAAGGCTTCCACGATGGTAGAGCTGCCAATTTCACAAGCCAGCATGAGAGCAGTTCTAAAGAAAAGGGAGACACAAAATTAGCACTAAATAAATGTAAAACTCTTTCCTCGGAAATTCTTTGTCCTGAAAACAGGGAAAAGAACCTTTACTTAATCATCTGAGAAATTCAAAATGAAATGCTATCAAGATGAAATTAGGTGGTATATTTATTTTTAAACTGCAAATTAAATCTAAATGTTAAACCATAGTTAGTCAAATAACATAGAAACAATCTACTGTACTGTTTGATATAAAACGATAGTATTTAATGATTGCCACAAACCTTACCCTTGTACCTCAAATATTTTACAGAACCTGTACAATGTGAAGACTTCTCAAAAGTAACCAATATGTTTACTTATTTTTCATGAAAAGACACAGAAATAGCTTAATCGACTTTGATATTTAATGGTTTCATCAGTCAGCAATGATGCTCAGAGTCTGGGAAACATTATTTTTAAGTGGAAAGAGATTCTTGATTACCAACAAGGTAGAAAATTTAAAAAGAAACAAGTTAAAACACATTATAACAAACCATTCAAAATACTGCTATGATATTGTGAAAGACTCAGAATGTCAGCATCACTTAAGTCACATGATTTTTGCCTGTTTATGCATACCTTCCGTTTTTGTCCCTGGAATTGACATCTGCTCCGTGATCCAGGAGAAAGCGACAGACCTCACTGTGGCCACTTTGTACTGCAAGAAGCAGCGGGATATTCCCATCCTAGGAGACAAACTCTGATTTAGATTTTAACTTTAACACCAAATGCCAGAATCACAGAGACCCTTGTTCTTTCCCCAGGTACCCCCATGACTTGTACTGCTGGTGTAATATTTGATCCATCATGATATTTTAGGCCCCTTTATGGCCACCATTACATCATGGCCAACTCTTGTAGAATTTCTCTGTTACCATTTCCCTAGAAGCCTTACCTTTTGGGCTGCTTGCCTGTTCCCTCAGCTGTCACTGAGTCTGAGTGATCACAGGAAAAAGTATTAAACTCAAGATGTGTTCAGGCTTAAGGCAAGAGTATCATGTACTGAAGAATGATTCTGGAGAAATGAAGGACTTGTCTCCGCATGGCTCAAAAGGACTTACTGCTCTAGGCAGCTTTTTCCCAGTGAACTACCTACTCGCTGTCATTCTACTCCTCTCAGAAGGTGTACCTTTCATAATTTTAATAAGTGCCAAAACATAACAAATTAACACAAGACAAGATAAAAGATGGATAAAAAAGAATTACTTAACTTGTCATGACAATTAGCAATCCTTTTGGAAAAAGAAAATTAGATCCCCAACTTGTATATAAACTATATCAAATGGATTGAGAATGAAAACATTGCAATATAAAACAAATGAGAAAAATACAAGAACATATAGGTAAGTATGTCTATAATCCGGATTGAGGAGAGCCTCATAAAAATGACACAAACGGGAAAGAAAATGTATTATCCTGTCTTTTGTGGGGAGAACATACCCCACAGGCAAGTCACCAGTAATTTTTAAGTTAAAAACATTCACATAGAAAAAGAAAAAAAGATTAACCACAATATTCCTAACCTATGTTAAAAATGGGGATTTAAAAAGGTACAATTGCTATTTAACAATTAAATCTTTTTTTTCCCCCTTCTACTTCTATCTTGGGATTGACCTCACTAGTGTTCTATCACTGAGCTGAACTATATTTCAGCCCTTTTTATTTTATTTTTATTTTGAGACAGGGTCTCTCTAAGAGGTAAGGCCTTAAACTTGTGATTCTCCTGCCTTAGACTCTCAAACAGGGAAGATTACAGGGCTATGCCACCACACCTGGCAGAATTAAGTCTTATAGTACAATTTCAGACAGATTTTCAAGTGTTATGGTTTAGTTATGAGGTGTCCCCCAAAGGCTCATGTGTGTGCAACAATGCAGGAAAGTGTAGAGGTGAAATGATGGATTATGAGAGCCTTAAACTGATCAGTGCATTAATCCCTCAGTAGGGATTAATTGGGTGGTAATGGTATGCAGGTAAGGTCTGGCTAGAGGAGGTGGGTCACTAGGGGCGTGCCTTTGGGGTTTATATTTTGTCCTTATTAAGCAGCATTCTCTACCTACTTTCTCATTATCATGTCCTGAGCTGCCTTCCTCTGCCACATCTTTCTGCCATGATATTCTGCCCCACCTCAAAGCCATCTGTGGACAAAGATCTCTGAAACTATGAGCCCAAAATTAGATTTTCCTCCCCGAAGTGTTCTTATCAGGTCTTTTGAGCGTAGCAGGAAAACAGCTGATAAAAATACTAGGCATTGTCTCTATAAAGTTATAGTACTTTCTGGTCATGAAGTAATAGTGTTTTAGATTTTGGATGTTTTTGGATTTTGGAGTATTTGCCTATAAATAATGAGATACCTTGTGGATGAAACCCAAGTTTAAACACAAAGTTCACTTATGTTTCATGAAGACCTTGTAAACATAGTCTGGAAGTAATTTATCCAACATTATTAATAATTACGTGCATGAAACAAAGTTTCATGGTGTGGAACAGGCTTCTTGTGGCATCAAGTTGGTGCT